GAATGGGCCAGGACGACAAGACCAAGACCGACACAACCACTGTTTCATACATTGAGAAGCCCCACTAGCGATGCGCTTGACATTAACGAAAGCAAAGCCATCACAAGCAGCAGCAGCGGCAGCAGCAGCGACGGCCGCAGCACCATCACCAACAGATACAGCTACTCCTACTGCCTTCACCTCCACTACTGCTACCGTAACTAATTTCTACTTGTAACTCCTACTCCTAACTTCCACTCCGACTCGTGCTCCTGCTGCTACTCCCACTCCCACTACTACTGCGGCTACTACTGCGGCTACTACTGCTACTACTGCTGCTACTAGTACTACTACTGCTACTACTACTACTGCTGCTACTACTACTACTACTACTACTACTACTACTACTACTACTAGACTACTACTACTGCTACTGCTACTGCTACTACTACTGCTACTGCTACTGCTACTGCTACTGCTACTGCTACTGCTACTGCTACTGCTACTGCTACTGCTACTGCTACTGCTACTGCTGCTGCTGCTGCTGCGACTGCTACTGCCTCCACGGCTACTGCTACGGGTACTGCTGCTACCGCTACTGCTACTACTACTCCTCCTCCTGCTGCTAATGCTCCTGCTCATGCTCCTACTCATGCTACTACTGTACCGCTACCGCTACCGCTACCACTGCCGCTACTTCTATCGCTACCACTACCGCTGCAGTTGCCGCTACCGCTACTGTTACGCTAATGCTACGCTACTGCTACTGCCACTGCCCCTGTACGACGACCACGACTTCGACCAGCTACTACCACCACCGCAGCTAGTATTCAAGCTACTCAATACATGTATAACTTCGCACAACCACACAATCACGGTACGTATAAGCACGGAATGTTTGAAACAAAAAACAAAGTCCTGCAGAACTCATTCACGAAAGTCTCAGGGTTTTGAATATCATCTGCCTGCCCTCGCGAAAATGAAACGCACCGTCTGGCCCACAGCCTGGAGCAATCGAACAAAACAGCTGATTTTCTGAGCGCTTGAAGTAGACTACGAAACCCGAAACATGCAATTTTACAGAGTACTAGGCAAGCACAGGTCCTCGTAAGAGTTCAAGGGGCGATGTGCCGCTTTGCGTGCTTGCCTCGCCCACGGCTGTCGCAGTCTTGTTGAAGCTTTCATCCGATTGCATTATAAGCTGCCCCGGCACTGAATCAATCAGGCTTCGTTGTGACAGCTCTGGACTCCTGCCGAAGTCTACTCATGGATATTTCAGGTTGATTCAGGTTGAGGGTCGGCAAAATAGGACCATCCCATCATGACAACATAGCCTTAACCAGCCTAGAGATGCGCAGTTCCCAAGTAAAAGCCCAGCCCTGCGCATCCCGGCAATAAGCCTGTGTACGAGTGCCTAAAACATTGAGAACTCCAGTCCAAAGACGCGAAACCCTCTTGATCCCTGCGACCCCTAGACCATAGGTGGTCCCTAAGGCCGGATTGATAAGCCCCTTGGACTCTCAGGAATTCAGGTGGCGAGACGAAACCGAAAGCCTCTTGATCTTGAGGCCTCGTGAAGCTTTTTGACTCGGACACCTTCTAAAGCCTCCCTTCATCCCAATCTGCTCTAAACCCTTGATTGACCGCGACCTCACGGCATCGGTCTCCTTCTCGATGAGCTCTTTTCGTCGCCGCTTCCTGAGCTGATGGCACTGGGCTCAGGGCAGTCGCATTCTCGGGGTTTCAATTGTCACAGCCTAAGACCGAAGCCGTAAAGCCCATGCCACAGGTCCCTGACAAAGTGGCAAGCCTGCATCTAGGGAACCTTCGCCGTGTAACACTCCCGACGGTAGCAGTGCAACCCTGAAGCCTCGGTTCAGGATTAGCGGCCTCGGGTTTACAGGCTCGAAATGCCCAGTGTCCGCTCCTCCTCTTCTTCTGCCTGCTTCCTCTTCGCCTCCTGACAAAGCTCACGGAAATGCGAGTGACAGCAAACCCTATTCCTGTGCAGCGCAAGCCTTCTTAGAGAAAGAGTCTCAACGGTGATGGCTGTTGCAGTACCGCTTAAAGCAACATCCGTCGGACAACATGAGAAGCATCATACGTTCAACAACTGCAGGTGCTAACCAAACGCAAACACAACAAGTGTGTGGACATGCATGCAGCCAATCGTGCCAGTGGTACTCCAATCTTTTCGGTCTAGATCTTGGGCATAAGCCTTACATGACTCGGCTTTTGGTAGTATCCCATCGAACCAGTAACACCCGAAAACGACCTTGACGTAACACCCGCCGCAAATAATCACGATAGCAATCTTGGGCTGTTGAACCCCTTTCGAAGTGAAAGGATTGCCGCCTCTTCTGCTTCCTTCTGTCGCTGCTTCTCGCGCTCTTTCTCCTCTGCCTCCTGGCGTTTTGCCTCAATCATGGATCGGCCGGGGACTTCTTGGATTGAAACTTGAGGGCATAACGGCTTCTCGTCACACTGGTCTCGCACCAGCGTGACTAAAACTCCTAGAGCGGACTATCACACCTATAGTTGCTGTTGCCTGTCCTCTACGACTCATGCCACTGATGCCGCTGCGGCTAGTACCACTATTGATCAGTGCTTCCGCTTTCGCTTTCGCTGCGGCTTGGCAGCATTCCATGTTGGGGCTGTGTTCCCTGAAAGCAGAGTATCTCCAAACCCTTGATCTTTCTGTTCGGCGCCCTTTCATTGTCGGCTCGATGAATCCGCATCAACAAGCGAAAAACCCTGGGCAAGCCCTTCAAATCGCCGCGGACACAATCTCGTAAACCACTGATCCCTAGACAACTTGCTTGGAGATGGAGGCTTCGAGGCTTCGAAGCTCTTTGGATTTTGTGCTTTGGACTTGGGGGCTTGACCCCGTCGAAGGGAACCTGACTTTCGACCACTTTCGAGCATCCTACAAAATTCTTGGATGCCCTATACGGCATAAAACTTGTGGAAACATGCACAAGAGCAAGCCGACGACAGCAATGGTTCGCTCAGCGCAAGTGAAACCGTTCTTCGCATCTGGCCTCCAATTCTGCTTGCTTGGCCTCCAATTCGGCTTGCTTGGCTGTGCTCTTCTTCTGACCTGTAGGCTAAGCAAACCCTGAACGGCTTTAAACATTCAGCACAGAGGCTATCTGGATGTAAGCAGCGGCACAGATACCTTTGAAGCATGCCCGACATCAATCCACCACAAGGCCCGAACGCATGTAATCCTCAACCATGAAGTCGAAACAATGAGCCGACGCTGCAGAAGCCCTCAAGAACTAAATGGAATGTCGTGCATCACTGTTGCGTGGGGTCAATGGGACATGCAGTCCTGATGCAAGTGACGACAGTCTCCATTGCTACACGCACAATGATTAGTAATCAGTAATTACCTCGTACTACTATCCCCATGGTTTGTTGATCTTCCACCTTCTCATCCCCCAAGCCGATCATCATGAGTTCCAGTGTTGGGCCAGTCGACCGCAGGCGTAATACTTAAGAAGCCACTCTTGGAAGAAAGGAACTCCGAGCCTAGAAGGTCGAAGCTGAGTTGGGCATCGGGGCTCAAGCTCCTTCAAAGCTCTTCGAAGGTAACTTGTCCCGGGGGGGCTCCCCGGATCTTTGCAAATTCAGGACGAAACATGGCTTTGTCACACATGACTCGCAGTTTTCTGGGCAGAGCTCGTGGCTTGATTCTCCATGCCATTGCAAAAGGAAGTCTCCAAATTGCCTCGGTCCTGCAAACGATGATTACGCCGGCTGCGACCTCGGTTGCTCTCATTTTGCCTCCTCCACTGTAAGTGCTACTGCTACTTCTGCTGCTGATGCGAACACCAGGGCTGCTGGTAGAGGTTATTGCTCATCTTACTACCTGTGAGGATACACTGCTTTCCGCGAGAACGACAACGACTAGCAGTAGTAAAAACAACAGCAACAACAGCAACAGCAACAGCAACAACAACAACAACAACAACAACAACAACAACAACAACAACAACAACAACAACTCCACTGCGACTACAGATTCGTAGTGCGACCTTCGCTACCCAGAGCTAGAGGAAACAATAGCCATCCACTTTCGAACGTGTTCTTCTTCATCACCCGCACGATCATCCTCGCCGTCACCATCCCAATCATCAAACACTCGACAAGATCAGTATCTTCATCGTCATCGCTGTTCATCCGGTTACCACTATTGCATGCCGACCTGCAAGCATTGCAAGGCGTCGATGACAAGTAGACTAGTAGCCAGTAGAGAAGCTTCATGCTTCGCTGAGGCGCGCTCACCCAATGGCCATGCCGCCGCGGTCTTCTGCAGAGTGCCATGGTAGAGGGAATGGCGCTGCAATCTATGCTTTGGGGACTCCGGGGTTCACGTTAGGTCCCGAAGAAATGGTCGACTTCGGTCTTCACGAAGGGCATCGCAGTTTACCAGCGAAAGGGCCCGTGGCAAAGGTTGCAACGCCTTGCCCAGTTTAATTCCCTCCTGAGCCAGACGTGCGTGCAGCGTGCAGCGTTGAAACAAGATCTACAGTACTGAAGGCTGACGCCTTACAAGTTACCTCGAGGTTCGTATTCTTGAGAATGCCTCGACTCGAGCGGCTCATCCCAGGCATAAGGAGAACTGCAAGAACTCAAGCTCAGGGCTGTCAAAACTAATTCACAGCTTTTTCAGCGTCCTATTCGGAACAGAAGTCTAGGACCCTGCAAGACATGCATCATCCCGGGTAGTTCCTGGAACAGCACGGGAAACCGGGACCACAACAAATCCGAAAGACCCATCTCGCGCTGAATGAGGCCGACAAGAAGTATCAACGCGGCTCGTATCGATGCCACATCCACAACACGAAACCACAGCAAAACACAACATCCTAACCTCAAATGCTTCCTCTTTAACATCCCAAACTCCCAACCCAAAACCTTACAGAGCCGTTAACGCCTAAAAAAAATAATACCTCTCAACACGCCGAAACTTTCACAATCCTGAACTTACATCCTAAACTCAGAAAGGGCCGGGCGAAGAGGCCGGAGGCCGATTCGGCTGCCGAGCTCAGCCTTCCCAGGGTTCTCTTTGCGACCATCTTGTCTTGTTTGGCTCGAGGAATACAGGGTTCTATGGGGCTTTGTAGGGCTTTCATGGGCATCATCTTGGCCAAGCCTTATGTGGCCCTTGTAAAGAAGGAACACCCTGACATGCTTTTGCAATACTTCATTCCGTTTCTTTTGAAGGCTGTACAGTTCTTTGCGGCTTGGTCATGCTGTGGGGGGGTTTCTTAAGGGCTCCGGGGTTTGAAGTCAGGACTTCCTCTCTTCAGTGGTCTGTAGAACCACGGTTCCCGGAGTGTCATTTCGCGAACTCTGCAAAAATTCAAGTCTGGGCATGGATGTCTGCGGGTTTGGGGCTTCAGGGGCTTCGTCCAAGGTTCCGGTTCCCTCGTGCAAGGCTCAGGTAATGGCTTACGATCGATCACGGTCACTCAAAGCGCTCGCGGTAAAACAAATGAACAACTCCTCCCAATGCATATCTGAGCTCCTACATTTGCCGTATATCAAAGCCCCAAGACCTAGGGAACTTCGAGTTCCGGGGGATGATTGCAGCCCCGAAGATGAAGCAGCTTCAGCCTCGCTGCGGCTGTGGCCGCCTGAGCGTCTGGGTTTCGGGGATTATCGGTTCAGGGTTTAGGGTTTAGGGTAAAGGGTTTAGGGTTTAGGGTTCAGGGTTTAGGGTTCAGGGTTTAGGGTTTAGGGTTTAGGGTATAATTATGGGATCATGTCTCGGTAAAGCCTGGGAGCCTGGGGTTTGCGGTCTTGCTGTAGCTGATACCATCCTGTTCGTCCACCCTGACGCTAGGTACCCCTGTTTTGGCATGGCTGGTATCATCATGCTCAAGAAGAGGCCGATGATCGCCGTCATCACCTCCTATCATACTCCTTCACCTCCCAAAATCTCAGCCCTGAACCAACCCCTGCAGAAACCACTGGCGCCACTTCTTACGACCAAATTATGCTATGTACATCATTCCCACACAAAGACTTGCAATCTACCTGAAGTTTTTGCACTTCATACTTCATGTAAAGCGAGCAACTTAAACTGACGTGGCTCAACCCTACAGTATCACAAAAGGTTCAGGTTGCGGGACAAACTTGATGAACAAGCCCACCTGAACGACAGCGTAGAAGTGTCCGTATGGCTCTTCCAGCACACTTTACAACTGAGCTACAGGACACCTGGGCATGTGCTGAGAAGCGTTTCAACACAACCTCAAAATACAAAGATGTTCACACGCTGCCGGGCCTACGGTACGGGGCCTCACTTCCCACCACCACCACGCCGCCAAAAACAAAAAACTGATCTTCATTCAACTCGAGGCACAGTTTCGGAGGTCGCTGCTTCGGAGGCAAACCTGCCATGTGAGACCCGAAGATCGACACTTGGGACGCGCTTGATGCTTAATACAGCCAGCCGGCGGCTACCCGATCGAGCAAGCTAGATGATGCTTCTAGTGGGTCTGTACAACATGTGCACTCATTGCTGAGGCTCCTATAGCCTCAATCCCAACTCTACACCAAATCCAAAACCTACTGAAATTAGAAAGTGTAGTTTAACACCCAAAGCTCCTTTCATCAGTTTCTCTTGTAAGGACTGCTGCCCTGCCAAATGCTTTCCAGCCCTGCGAAACGGACGTCGAGCCGAACTCCAAAACCCTCGAAGTTGGGATGGCTGTTTTCTGGAAAACAATAGAAAACAATTCTGTTGCTGGAAGCTACGGTGCTACGACCACGAGTTTTGGATTTGTCCTTACCTCTCTACTCTGTATGAAGCTGGTGGATGAGCTTCTCTCAATGGATCATCGGGAGAGTAGCCACCAGTGTGCTGCCCAGCCAAGGTCTTGTGTCTCAATGTTACAGTGCTTGCAGAAGACTCCTGGAAGTCACGAGCCCAAGGCCACAGCGCGACGGACTCAGATGCAAGTCGGAAGCGTGACGGCAGCACTGCTGTCCTCGACTCCGGACTGTATTCCACAGCCTTCCAGGCAGGCGACCCGCAGAGATCGCGGTCGCTCTCGATCCCACAACTTAAGCTGCTTCTGATTGCTAACTTACTAACATATCTAAACAAGAAGACACTTCCTCGACTCCCACAAGTCCCATGCAATGAATGCCAAACAGTATCACGCTGAGCTAAATCCCGAGGGCCCCAACAACCGACTCAAGCACCCTTCAACCGCAACTCGCCAAACCCGCCAGGCTCGAATGGAAATGAACATGACGCAGCCCCTGAGCTACGGTTTATATAGGGTGTAGGGCCACTGGAACTCTGTCAAAGCGGTCAAGCCGACGGCACTGAGTCCGCGGCGAAGACAGCTGCACATGAGCCTGCGAGAGGGCGGCACACCAGCTGGCTCAGGCTCGGAAGGTTCTAGCATGATTCAAGGTTTAGCGGCTGTTTTCAGGTGCACGGTAGGGCAAAGGGAGCTACCGTATACAGGCTCGACGTTCTCGAAGCTCTCCAGGCTGTAGAGCTTGACAGCCTTCGAGGTTTCGCGTGCTTAGTACATCGAAGCTCCTCACAGCGAGAGACTCAAGGCACTTCGTATGAATGCAGCCCGCCGAAGGTTGAGAAGGTGCTGGAGTTCAAGTGCTCCTTAATCAAGCTGACGACTGAAACGTAGACATCCCAACGGTATCAGCTTTTTCTGCAAGCCCCTCCACCTGCTCAGTCCCAGCACCTCCGCAGCTTCACCAGCCCTAAACTCACATCCCAAAGGCTCAATACCAACAGCAGAGGCTGTTCAGAGCCTGCTCGTAGGCCTCTTGCCGTGCAGGGGCCGTATCCTGACGAAAAACGCTCGGGGGGTGGAGGGGTTCCACACGCACGTACAGACACAAGCGCAAAAAGACAAACACACAGACAGACAGATGGAGGGACAGACGGACGGACGGACGGACAGACCGAGAAACAGACAGACAGAGAGACCGACACAGACACACAAACACACACGCACGTCGAACCAAACCTTGAGCCGCGGAGCCCCGACTTGCATCGCACAAGCCTGAATGCCTAGAGCCCGAAATGCCACACCGCTGGGTAACACGGATTCGGGTTGAGGGTTCGCGCTCACAAGCCACAGGGCTTGCATCACGCCAATTACAAAGACCCCAGGCCCGGAAAGCTGGAGAAGCTGCTGGCCTGTATCCAGCTTTGTAAGGCGTGTGCTTTGTCCTGAAAGCAGGCTTCTACGTTCCATGCGGTTGCGCCGAAGGCTTAGGGTTAAAGATGGCTGAAGGCTCTTTGAATCCCAATTCTTTGGAAGCACAGAGTTTCGGCAGTGTTTGGCCTTTCGCCCGGAGATTCAGGATTCAGGTCTGAGGCATTGAAGGACCCAGGATTCTGGCCCGGAGTCGAGGAGTGTTAAACACGTTTAAGGGTGTGCGGTTGAGCCATTTAGGGAGTAGAAGCGTATCTCAAGTTCTAGAGTTTAGAGTTGGGGTGTCTGTGGGATCAATGATACAAGGGGTCACGGGAAGCGCACGCTCGAAAAGCAATCTGTGCAAGCTCTGGGTGTGAAGTCTCGTTGAAGGATATTAGAGCGAAACTAACTTCTAACATCGTCGACAGGACGAGAGCCAAACCCAAAACCACAAACTCTCAAGCCCCAGCCCATTAACCTTTTGCAGTTTTAACGGCTATTTTGGAGTGACCGGACTTTGGTTTCGAGGTTTTCGTGTCGCCACGTAAAACTTTAAGGCCGCGGTTTTTGGAGTTGAGGTGGACCACTGTGGCGGACAGGGCGATGAAGGCAAAAGTCTTCAAGATGAAGGGGTTCAGTTTTGGTAGTTGGTTTGAAGTGCTTGGGCTTTGGTATCGAGGCTTTCGGCGGTCCAAAACCCCCTATAAACAAACCCCTAAACAACGCTCTCACTAAAGATCCGCTTAAACCCTCCTAAACCCTGAAAGCCGCCTAGAGCCCATATAAAGCCCCTGAAACCGTGGAAACCCTCCTAAACAGCCGAACCCCCATACTGTACCACTGTAAGTACCACTACCACCACCACGACGACGACTACTACTACAAGGGGTGGGTTTATCTCACATCAGTCGGCGCGAATACATACCACCCCGTGTTTGCCGCCGTTCCAGCGAATTACACATCAGTGGCGAGAATACAACATCTGTAGATGCCAAGCGCCATGTAGACACTGTTTTCAGTCTCCAAGTCGCGCAAGTTCAATCTTCAGGATATGCTCCCTACACGGAGGTTTCAAGTGCTTCTCATCGAAATCTAAGCAATATTTTGCACCGAATCCTCGTGCACCCGAGATACACATACCGAGCATCAAACGAAGTCCCTACAAGCAAAGCGCGTCAGAGTCGGCCAACCACAGGAACTCCATAGGTGGTAGTCGTCGTCGTAGTAGTAGTAGTAGTAGTAGTTGTTGTAGTGGTCGTAGTCGTAGTCGTAGTCGTAGTAGTGGTAGTGGTAGTGGTAGTGGTAGTGGTAGTGGCAGTAGCAGTAGTCGTCGTCGTCGTCGTCGTCGTGGTCGTAGTAGTAGTAGTAGTAGTAGTAGTAGTAGTAGTAGTAGTAGAAGTAGTACTAGCAGCAGCAGCAGCAGTAGCAGTAGCAGTAGCAGTAGCAGTAGCAGTAGCAGTAGGAGCAGGAGTAGGAGGAGTAGTAGCAGTCGTCGTCGTAGTGTTGATCACGTGTCATTGGCCAATCAAACTTTAGGAATTTCGGGTGTTTTCGCGATGACCTAGCGACACCGTCCCGATAATCTAAATGTCAGCAGGAAAATCACGGGTACACCCGCCACTGAAAGTCGGGACTCATGTTGGCTGAACCGCTGGTGGCTCAGCGCCACTAGCAGCAGCGCTATGCATTGCGACTTGCATTTAGGCAGGGTGGACGCTGATTGATGTCGGTGCCACGACACAATTAAACAACAGCCACTATGTACTCAACAGCATCACAGCACATCAAACGAAAACCCATGTAGACGCTCAATGTCACAAGCACCCGCTCGAGACACAAGTACACATCAAAATCAGCCATTTCCCATGCGCTCCATTCCACAAGACACAATCGGATCGTTCATAAAAAGGAATGACTCTTTGAAGTGCGGTCCCAGTGCGGATGCTCATCGAAGCGTATCTCAACCCAGCGATGCGAGCTACGGCGACCTCCACTTCTACTACTCCACTACAACTCCTGCTACGATTGTACTGATCTGTAAAACTGTATAAGTCCTACTACTGTACTACCGCTGCACGGCTGCCACTGTACTCCTCACCGCGCTTTTCTGAAGAGCCTATCCTGCTACAGTGCCTGGACGCACCACCCACACCCCTCAAAAGAAATGTATTCCTGCGACACTCCCGGAAAGTGCCACACCCATACCCCTTCAAAAGCCTGCATGCCTCCACAGTCTCGCTCCTAAGAGCCTCTCCACAGCCCGGATGCACTGCCCTGACTCTAAAGAGCGCATCTCCCCCTACAGGCCCGACAATGATTATCACCACAAGCACCATCATAAGTTGATACTCACCGTACCATGGTCATGATGATAAGAAGCAGCGGAGCAAACGCCATGACGGGCCCCCTTGCGTCCTGCACGACCTCTGAGGCCTGACCGGCCCTCTCCATGACAGCAGGAGCGATCTTCTCCTCCCCGCGCGCACTCAGTATTGCGCCGGAGCACGATGTGCTTTCCGTTGGTTGTTCATGGGTTGTAGGACTTGCGGGCGTGGACTTACAGGTTCCTCTACAAGGTTTTTCGAGATTCTAGACTGATTGGTGGGGTCTCGGACGGTGCCTGTGTTTGCAAGGCTAGTTTGAAAGCAAAGCCGATAGCTTGGACAAGTATGAAACACGAACCGGAAACCCTCGATCACACAACGTGCCTGAAACCCTATGGAATGACTCCTGGAAGTTTTTTGAGAGGTCCGCGCCAACCTCGCTGGCAACGGCAGCGGCCTGCAACTGCTTGCTTGACAAAGCTGTGGTTTGCAGGGCTTAGGATAGAAGGCCCAGGGGTTTTTCATGAGGCATCTTTTTGAAGGGGGGTCGGGGTGGGGTGTTGGCTTCAGGGACAGGGGATTTCAATTCGATCTGCTAGGTTGTGGCTGTGTTGCCGTAGCTTTATTGCTTAAAGGAGTTGGGTCTTTCGAGGCGTAGCAGATGATTGGAGGATATCGGAGGCTTCCATGCTGTGATCACTTGCGCCCATCACACATTTCCTGGTCCACCAGTACTGGAACGGTTGCCTCTGCTGCAGCATGCTGAGCCTTGGCGGGTTCGCAGGCGGCGCGAAGATTGGAATGATGAAGGCTACTAGCAGTCATAGCAGTAGCAGTCGTCGCAGCAGTCGCAGTCGCCGTGGCCGGGGGCCGCCGCGGCGGCGGCAGCGGCAGTAGTAGTGGTAGTGCTAGTCGTCGTGGTGGTGGCAGTCATGATAGTACTGGTAGCAGTAACAGTAGCAGTAGGACCAGTAGGAGCAGTAGCAGTAGCAGTAGTAGTAGTAGTAGAAGAAGAAGAAGTAGAAGTAATGGTAGTGGTAGTAGTAGTAGTCGTAGTAGTCGTCGCAGCAGCAGCAGTTAGAAGTATCTAGCAGTACGGGACTGGTACTGCCACTAGGTGCTAGTAGGAGGAGGAGTACGATCAGAACAGTGGAAGTAGTAGTGGCAGTCGTGCTCCTCGCCCTCATGGTGGGTGGCAGCAGAAATTGGGGCAAGAGCAGCAACTTCTGAACAAGCATAATCCAGCAAAGAACAATGGACAAAAAAATCACAACCTCAGTGCACTCAAAAAGCTTGGTATGGACCCTCACCCAATGTCTCGCGGACGTCCACTTACTTTACGTGGCGTTCGTCCACATGTAATTGGCGCCCACGACCGCCACAACAACGATGATCATACCGCAGCACGGGCTTTCAAAGCCTCAACAGCACAGCTCATAACCTAGATCATCCTAGATCCTACACCCACAATTGTAATTCCCCAGCTATTGGGCCTGCACAGGTCGAAACGACACTCGGAGTACCCATGGCTCCTGGTGCTCGGGGAGCGGCCCAGTCCGACAGGTCATCGATCACCTGGTTCCTGAAACCAACATGTGCACAAGCACAAAGCGTTATTCATATGTGCATATAGCAGTATACTAGAGGTCTTTCTCATCGAGGTTCAGCCTTCGGCAAGCACACCTACATCCGCACCCCGGGACAGATAGAGATTGTGCGTTTGTGCGGTATCCTCCTCGATCCTTGCTGCTTAAATCTGTAGGTCACCCTTGTAGCAAGGAGCGAAAAGATCACGCAGGTTTAAACTGTGGAAGGCGATGCAAGGAGCCCCGCCATAGCCTTGGGCCAATGTCTTGCAGATGCTGAACCTCGAGACGAGACACTAACTCCCTAAAGTTTAAGCTCTTCAAACCCTAGTCCGCGTTCTACACTCCTCCAAACAAACGGGACGACTCGCCGAAACAGTGCCTCTGAGAATCGACAGTTGTAGGATATAGTAAACCCCAGAAGCCCCCCTCCGGCCTTTTGGGCGGAAACTGTGGCGGAAGGCTACGGCGCTCGAAAGCGCAAATCGCAAAGGCCTTGGAACTGGGCTTGAACCGTTCTGCGTCTTGCCCTTGTTCTGAGAGGTCTACGTAGCTTGAAAACTTGCGGTTTGGGGCTTCCTGTTAAAGAAAGCATCGGAGTGTCATGCATTTCCTGAGCCTGAGGGTTCGTAGCCTTCAAGGAGCTAAACCCTTGTATCCACCCAAACTTCGGGGCACGAACTCTGATCGGTTCCCTGCGAAAGCTGAAATGCGACTAAACTGACTGACTAAGCCCGAAGCCACCAACCAAAGACTACATCCTACGAGACCCAGCTCGATGCCCAAGCCTTCCTTCAGAATGCTAGCTAGCACCTGAATTTCAAGCCATCAAATCGCAGGGATGCGATTTTGGGCCGTATTCGGGCCTAAGCTACGGCACCAGGATGCCTCAGAGCAGAAAAACGTTGGAAGCTCAGAGCCTTCGATGAGGTTCGCACATAGTAGTAGTAGTAGTAGTAGTAGTAGTAGTAGTAGTAGTAGTAGTAGTAGTAGTAGTAGTAGTAGTAGTAGTAGTAGTAGTACCAGTAGGAGCACCAGTACCCTAACTAGTATCAGTGCATAGTAAACATAGTACTATAGTAGTAGTGGCAGTGTTGTTGTTGTTGTTGCTGTTGGTGGTAGCGGTAGCGGTTGCGGTAGCAACAGTTGTGCTGATCAGCAGTTGTTACCTGTCAGCCTGGCAGTGCTAGTCATCGTGGCAGCACCAGTGGTAGTGATCCAAGTCCGGGGCCTTTCTGAGCAGTGCTTCAAAGTCGGTCCCGCGCGGTCCGGCTTGCATGATCTGGGTTGGCGAGCGGTTGTTTCTTGTTGCCAAGGGCGTGCGTTGGAGGGCCGTATCTTGTTGGTGGTTTTGCAAGTTGCTGCAGTGTCTTGATGGCGCTTCGTCGGGCGCTGGGTGCTTGATTTGGTGCGGTATTGCGTGCATGAAGGCGAAGTATGGCATTCTAAGCTTTTGGCGGGCTCGACAGAGCTTGGCAACTTCGATGTCCACGACATTCTTAGTGGGGCTTTGCACGGTTTATTAACTTGAGATCGCACGACCGATGGAGGAAACCAGATTGAGGAAGAGCAGGTCTTTTGAGTTCAGAACAATTTTGGATTGGGCGTTTGTTGGTTCGGGATTTAAGTAAACCTTTGATGAATAGCAGCCACTCGTTCGACTCAGGGCGATACTGCGGACCTTACTGCCTCGGCAATGAGAGCTGGCTAACTAGCCCTCTGGGAGTTTAGGGTTGGAGTTCAGCTGTTCAGGGTTCTCAGCTTTTGGAGTTTGTGGGTACCACCAGGCAAGCTTGTCCAAGTAAGCCACAGAAACATGCCCATTTGCGAGTCCTGATCCGTCCATGGTATAAGTTGGGTTCTTTTAGCATCCTGGGGCAAAGTCTTGCTCCACTGTGCAACTGCAGTCGTAGTTCCTTGCCAAAGTCACACGTGACTGCTTCAGTGCTGGCCCCACTGTTTCCAGACGAACATCCAGAGCGCATAAAAGCTTTTGCACTTTCTCTCCACCTTAGCGGATACTACCTTTCAGCTTGAGATGTTGCTGCGCACCTTCCGGGCCAGTACAATTTGTGGTCCAACCGAAGCTCCACCCCAAAGAGCCCCGAATCTGTAGCCCAGAAGCTGGAAGCACCCGCGAGCCAAACGCACTCTTATAACCCGATACTGGCTGATGATAGCCGATTATAGGATACTACCTTAGCCTACCAAACCCTAGATTTTTGTGGTTCTTATTATAAACCCAAATATGGAAATTGTCGGGACCCTACAAAACTGTAGGTTTTGGTAGGTCAAGGTAGAGCTAAACCCCAAAAGTTAGACCCTGGGACCTGCCTCGGCCAGCTCAAACTGCTTGTCCGTTGCCAGGAGCTCGTCGCGCTTCCCGAGGATCACGGCTACGCAAACGTGCACGACGAACCTCGAAAGCCCGGGGTTTCAGAAAAACTCACAGCTGCAGCGGACAGGTTATTTTCTGCAAGCTTTCAGTTTGCCTGCTGAGGTCTGGCCTTGCTGCTCTACAATATGGTTTTGGTTGAGGTTCTTTCTTTAAGGCTCCTTCTATGGGTTGACATTGAGGATTAAGCACTAACGCGGCTTTAAGGTTTTAGGGTTTGGGAAGATGCGGCTCTGGCGAATTCCTGCTTTTCAACACCCATACCTATGTTTGTTGGTATCTCAGTTTCTGGTTGCTATCCCTGCAGGGTCCAATTTGAGAACGTCTAAGGTCCAAGGATATCCGGAGATGACGAGGCATCCAGCTGCTGCCGTACGTGAATGCATCAGGAGTCTCGTCTGGCTGAAACGCCGTGGCAAACAAGCTTTTCTCATACGGCACCATTAAGTGTAAGGTCTGGAAATCTGGCCCGTTCACAGGAACAAGATGGGCTCATGAAAATCATCCGGCTGAAAATGCGGTGCTCGTAGGAGTTCCGCAGCGATGCTGCGTCCCTTGCTGTACAATCACCTGCCACTTTGGCGATGTTGTGCTCACGTCAGCTTAGCTGATAAGCGGCCGCCAGGACAGTGCTTGCCCCCAGAGTTGCAGCCACGCCATTGCTGGGGGAGTCTTTTTTGGCCTCCTGGTTGCCACTCCTGGGTGGATGCTTTTGCGGAAACAGGAAGAAAAGACGACTCGGGTTGGGTGTGTCACGGTGTGGGAGTACAAGCTTACATTGTACATATATGTATATATACATATACACAAGCTACGTAAATTAAATACTCATGTGTTTGTTCAAGTGCTTGCACTTTTCAGCACTTTTGCATGAGTGTACAAATGCCAAAAGTGCACTACAATACAAACAAAACAATGACATGAACAGATATAACAAAACATAATACAAGCTAGTCTCGATAGAGACGTATACATACACATATACACACACATAAACAAATAATAAACACATATATATATATATATATATATATATATACACACATACACATGTACATGTACATGTGCATGTGCTGTGCATGTAGATGTAGATTGTAGATGTATACATAGGTAGAAAAATCAAAAATATGTACATATATATATATATATATATATGCATATTCACATACATATACACATACACACACACAGAGCACGCGCATATGAAAAGCTCATCGAAACATACTCGTTGTATGGACTGGAACAGGTTTTACATGTACATCAGCACACAATGCACCCTGTCCGTGTTTGTCAACAGAATGGCGATAGCTCAGTAGCAGTGACAAAAGTGACAAAAGCAATGGCAGCACTAGTAACACTAACGTCAACACTGCTGCTGCAGCTGAAAATGCTGCTCGTCCGACAACACCAAATAGAATGACGACCACTACTCCTCCCACCACTGCCAAGACCATGACCACGACGACGACCACCACCGCACAATCCACCACCGCCGCAGCCACCACCACTACGACGACAGCGACTACCACTAACTTCATTACCTGCACGCTTGGACAAAGTGCGGTCCGAGGTTCCCTGAGTCAGAAGACCAACCCCAGGCCGCTTGTGCGGAGTTTGCGGTGCCCAGCAGCAAAACAGGCAGAAGCTGCACGAAGAGCACCCCAAGGCCCAGGAAGGAAAGGCGTCCGAAGCTTGGCATGTTTTCAATCGACTTTGGTTCTGTGGGCTACAGCTCCGGGAAGCGAAATGGCTGCATCCGCAAGAGCAAACTCTTCGGCTGAACTTGGCTATGTATGTGGTTGCGATTTATGTATAAAATGAGCACGACTATCAACAAGAACATGCCCTTGCGCTGTCAGTGTTGCAGCAGTCCTCAGTGTAGCAGACTTTTGGCGTTCTGATGCTTTTCCATCTGGTCAGCCCAAGGCCCAAAGATCCCCACACAAGAAACGACCGACCTGTGCTGACTGCGCTGGGCTACACGGATATGGAACCTGTCCCGTTGACTACGTTGGTGCTGGGCTCAGGGCATAGGGTTTCAGGACACGGAACCCTTGAAGATGCATGAACTGCCCAAGAACCCTCTACTCCACATTACTGGGCACCAAAATCCGTTCCTGCACTGAGGAGCCCGTATCTGTTCGGGTCTGCGATGAAGGAATCCCACAGCCTCGGGACTTGGAAGTGTGTGGGCTTCTTCAGCTTGGGGTCTCGTTTGCGCAACAGCAAGATGCAGGAAGGAAAAAATGCATGACATTGGTTCTGCAGTCCTGATACATGATCGGGCAGCCTAAGCTCCTCTGCGCTACTACTGCAGCAATAACAGCAACCACTACTGACACCATCACCGCCACCAGCACCAGCACCAGCACCACCAGCACCACTACCACTACAACTGCTACTAACAGTTGCACACTGCTCGTCATGATCTCTAGAATGGCAATGTCCACGGTCGTTTTCATGGTCCGGTAATACAAGCCATTCTAGCAAAGCATGCTCCACTGATGCGAAGAGGCCGGAGGACGTCGGGCAGCGTCGCATCCTGCCCCCGGAGCTCAACCCAAAACCCAACACCCCGTGGCATAAGTTATTTTCGATTTGTAAGCCCTTCAGCAGAACGGCAACAACCTTAAATCCTCCAAAACCCACACACCAACAACCCGTGAACGCTTTGGCATGTGTTCTGTCATATTTGCAGATCGATCGTGGCCCAGTTCGTGCTTCCTACTTTACTCAAGGACTGTGTGACTTCCTTAGTTGAGCTTGGATTTTTCAGGATTGAAATCTAAGAGCTTCAGATTTCGAGTTCAAGGGTTGGGGTCCAAGGTTGGGTTCGAGTTGAGGTGGCTTCTTGGGTTTAGGGTGCTGAGTTGTTGACTTTCGGTTTCGACGAGATGATGGTCTCACGAGGTCTAAAGGTTGCTGGCAGAAACAGTATTGTCCAAACCCCATGCAAACTCAACCACAGAATTGAAGTGGCTCAAACTTGGGGTCCTGTCTGAGCTGCCTTTTCAGCTTGCTAAGGGACATGCTCTGAACAGCAATGTCTGAAACCGCAAGCCGCAAGCGGAGAACAAGCTTCACCTCTCAGCTGGAACCTTCCAACCTTCCGCCTCAATCCAACCTCAACATCTCTCCGAAGAGAACCCTAATTCCACAACGCCCCACATTCCCTGTGACGGTTGGCACCTGAGCGAAAAGGACCTGAGGCAGAGCGATCACTCGTTGTGGCAGCAGCTTCCCAGGATAGATGCAAGTAACATCAAAAACGAAAACATCAAGCACAAGGAGACTATACCATAGTCAGCGGAAAGTTGCATTAGTTTGGAGCTTCAGGGACCAACTGCACTCTTGAGGGTGATCGTGCACCATGTGCGTACTGGCTTCATGACAGGATCAAGGGTTCAGGGAACGGAACACGAAGCCCCCGCTCACCTGAACGAATCAACCCCCTCACGCTATCCCTTTCGTTTGTGCTGTGGACCATGCCTCGCCGTCTCGTTCGAGATAAGCGTCGGTGCACCATCGCAGGACGAAGACAAAAAGTGACAGCTCCGCGCGCGCAAGGTGCCTCTGGCAAAAACCGATGGCACACAGCGATGATCGACGGAAAGGCAGAATTCAGGAATAGTCGAAGGAAAGATCCAGGAAGCAGCGTTACATATGTCTGTGTTCACATCCGCAAACTATGACTGAGGAGTTCACTTCGGAAAGTCCTACACTAGGACTACAGCAACTCGCGGAAAGCGAGGGGCAAGTTCGTGTGGTGGGTTGCAGAGACCCCAAAAAGCCTAAGCAACACACCATGCAGGTTTTCCGACCCTGGCCTGGCAAGCTGCGGGTCGTAGCCTCAGCGCGGCGGTGCTTCTACTGAGACCTGTCACGAGCCCCCCTTGCCCTTTTGACAGTAACATCTGTTTCGAGAAACCCGGAAGCCTTCGGGAAGCTACGGTATTGCAGCGAGACGTCGGACCAAAGAACGACGGAGGCTTCGTCCCCAGATCCAGATACGAAATACATGTGCACCTGGTCCTTGCGTTTGGTTAAGCAGCTAAGCCCCGACGTCACATTTTCCCAAGAACCCTCCCAGATTCACATCTGGCGAACTCATATTCATATCCTGGGGCTCTGGCTCCTGAGCATCTGCGAGATCTCCTCGACCATGCCGTAGACACCTGCAGGCTTCGGGTTTTTGGAACTGGACACTTGCCGAGATTTACACTCACTACTGGAGTGTCAATCCGAACGAAGCCCCTCCTTGTGCCCAAAAGCCCCAAACCATCAGACTTGAGGCTGACGTTATGAAGGCGCCCCGCTACGCATTAGCGAGGCACCTTCCCCGCTGTGATCCAGAGCTTGCATGAAGCCGTCTTTGATCTCCTGGATTTGGCCGGGCACCCTTTTCGTTTGTGTTCTGCCAATTTCTGAAGATACTTGCCATTGGACGGAACCAATACCCAAACTGGTGCTGCGAAGGCTTTTTTCGACCACGCTGCGCTTCCATCGACTTTGAATTTACTATAAACCCCAAGCTAGAAGCCCTATCCCCACATCCCGAACCCGTACCCAAAAGCCACAAGGGTTCGACAAGTTTCAGCCATCATCTCGCTGAAACACCAGAAGGCGTCTGTCTCTGCATCGGTTTCAACAGACATTACGTACAGCAGAACGGCCGCGATCTCGTTCATGCCTGGGTTCAGGTGATTTCGATCTTGGTTTCGGTGTGGGTGCGTGCAGGGCTAAACGTGACGAGGGCTCTGACTCTGGGGCAAAAGGGTCCGAATGCTCTAAGACTCTAGGTGTTTCGGATTTAGGGTCCTAAGGCTTAACCTACGGGCGGCTTCGAGGCTGAAACGGGCGCCCGGAGACGAGCCATGACAGGACTTTCTGGCTTCAGGCTTCTCCATCTAGAGCTTGAGAATGTGGGCCTGGGGATGATGGACTTTGCGGTTTTGCGGTGTCTTCAGCGTTAGGCAGCACCATGCCCCAAGGACTCAAGCTCCATAGATTCTTGCCAGCGGCCTTGCACGTAGCGAACGCCCGGATTCAGCTTGGCATAGACGAAGAGCAAGGCAGTCAGTGCTGCTTTGGTAGCAGGGCGCCGGAAATACTCGAAATCACGACGAGTCCTCTCGACGTCCTTAGGTTTCGAACGTCGGAATCATCGGAATCCGCGAACTCAAGCACGCACGCAGCTCCGCACCTCGAAAAAAGCAAGTAACTTCAGGCTTCGAGGAGCATGCGAATAAAAACGAGCCTCAAAACTTTCGGAGGGGTGTGGAAGGCTTAGGGTAGCGGACCTGGGGCCAAATCCCAGATCCAAGGTGCATTCTTGATCTCCTGCAGCAGGTCTTGATCGTCAATCTCACTGCCTGACAAGACGAGCTTCCGATAGGGTCAGGGATGGCCAGGATTTACTGAAGTCGCCTAGTCCACGTCTAGGGTTCGAAAGCCGAAGTTCGCTCTAAACACCCAAATCGGTTTAAGGTTCTGGTACCAGCATCAGCCGCAACAGCAATCTCCATAAGGCCCTGAACCGTATAAACCAAGCTTGAAGATGCGATTGAGCATTGCAAAACACTGAATGAAACGTATAGATTTATCGAGTTTAGGAACTTAGCCCCACGAGAGGCCTGGGCTCTTGGAGGCGACGTTGAGCGAAACCTCCTGGCTGGAGCTCACCGCGAGGAGCTCGCTCCGGTAGCTGGCGTACAGCGCTCGCTTCTCGCCTGGTCTCCGGGATCAGGATTTCGCTTAGGGTGGAACACCGTGCTAGATCGTTCCAGGGCGTGGGGGTTCAAGGTCGGTTGCATGTGTGGTGTTTCGGCTTGGCACTATTTTGGTTTTTGTCCTAGACTTTCGGGTGTTACTAGCGTTCCGAGGTCCCCGACATTGTATCCTCAAGCCCTCCCTGAAACCCAGAACCCAGAAACAACTACGCCATAGCCGTCTCTCCGTCGAGGGCAAGGGTGTTCGAGAATTCTCGAGGAACCTAGGCCAAGGGTTTGAGGACAATTTACGGCTTGATACAACGTTGCAGTCACTGTCTGTGTGTGTGTGCGTTCCAAATAGCATGCCAACCTCAACCCGCGACCGGATACCCGAAGCGAAACCAATTGCAGGGAGAGTCGCCATAAATTGCGTTCCACTCATCGTGCCGCTTCATGGGCAGGTAGCCCAGCAAGGCCTTTGCATGAGTGTCAGTGTCATGAGTACATATATGTATATTTTGAGACATATATTCATTCAGGTATAAACGAAGAGTATATGCATACTATGTAAATGTACATTTGCATGTGTGTAGGTTTATGTATGTATGAATGTACGTGTATATCTATATAGATATATATATATATATATATATATTCATTTATGTATCTATGTATAAGCAGGAACAGAAAGCAAATAAGTAAATGCATCAACAATCTGCATAGATGTGTAAATGTATATGTATATTATATGTACTTGCCAAGGTATTGGCTTAGGTATAGGTACATGCATATGCATACGTATATGGGTATGCACAAGTATGTGTGTGTATATGTTTTTTGCGTACGTGTGTATGTCTACATCTGCCTCTGTGTGTGTGTATGTGTGAAGGTATGTGTGTGTGTGTATGTATGTATGTATGTATGTATGTGTATGTTCACCTGTATGTATGCATGTATGTACGTATGTACATATGTCTATCTGTCCGTCTGTCTTTCTGTCTGCTCGTCTGTATATGTATGTATGTATGTATGTATGTATGTATGTATGTACGCATGTATGTAATGTATGTATGTATGTATGCATGTATGTGTGCGTGTTTTTATAAATAGGTATATGCACCTACGTACATACCTACATGCATACATACATACACACACACAACATATAGGCATATTACATATACACATACAAATGTAAGTACATGCTATCTTCAGCTAGACATAAGATATGCACAGGCAGATGTGAATGCATGTGTGTGTATACGAATATGTGTGCGTATGCATGTATATGGAGATGTGTATGTATGTGCGTTCATACATATATATATATATGTGTGTGTGTATATAATTGTATACACATCTATATATATATATATACACACATGTATGTCAATGGGCGTACGTGCGAATTAGTGTATGTGCGTATGTATGTATGCATGTATGCATGTATGTAGCGAGAGAGAGAGCGAGAGAGAGAGAGAGAGAGAGAGAGAGAGAGAGAGAGAGAGAGAGAGAGAGAGAGAGAGAGAGAGAGAGAGAGAGAGAGAGAGATAGAGAGAGAGAGAGAGTGTGTGTGTGTGAGAAAGTGTCTGTGTGTGTGTATATCTCTATGTTGGCCAGTCTGTAGACGGATAGTAAACCCTATAGCACCAAACAAGCCTTCCCAGTGTTGATTAAATGTCTTAATATCTCCATGACAGCATTTTGGGCGGTTTCAAGTTGCAGACTCTCGAAGAGGGGTTTAAACGCAGCTGGGTTGGCATCGAAGGGTGTGCCCACAAAAAAACTCACTTCCCCTGCGCATGCTGGCAAGCCCGTCGTTGAAAGCGCGACCCAGTTCAGTCCAAGCCCGATGCCCTCACAATTGAAACTGTAAGCCCCGAAACCTAAAACGCCTGAGCCCAACCCCTGAACCCTACTCCCTAAGATGAGGCCTTCCAGACCTTCGCTCGAAGGCTCTGGTCATCCGGCAGCCCGCGGTAGGCAAGCCTAGCAACTTGGAGACACGGACTCGGGCTTTGCGTTCAGTGTTTCGGGAAGGTTTAAACGTGTTGAAAGATTTAGGATTTTCGGCCTGGCTGTAGGGTTCAGGATCTCAGCGGCTCTCCAGGGCTTTCTGCGCTTGTCCGGGATTTTATAGGTTTATAAGTTACTACGACGTGTTGTCACACAGCTATGAGTGAGATATTGAGGTTTGGCTTGAGATCTAACCCCTAAACACGCTAAACTCTAGATTCTCACGGACGGTTGAGAGGTTTGGCCTTCCTCAGCAGAATAGCTATGGTTTCGGAAGTCAGGAGACCTTCCGTGGAAGGTTTTGCATGGCTTCACGAATTGGGGTTAAATCCTGGGAGGCCCGCCCACAGGCCACAGTTCCCTAAAGGCTCGAGGATGCCGCCAGAAGGCGCATGGCAATGATTGAGAAGTCCAGTTGCCTATAGTCTCGCCTAGTCTCAAGGGTTTAGGCTGAAGCATCTCGTTCGGGATGAGCGATTTTGGAATGTAAGCTTGGTCTCAAGGGTTTAAGCTTAAGCATCTCGTTCGGTATGAGTGATTTTGGAATGTAAGTAGGTTCAAATTCGTCACCCAAGCTGAGCGTAAAGCCTAAACTGCCTAAACTCTACACCAGCTGAACCGGCGTCCAAGCAACAGTCGGAGGAGGCCATCATTGCCGTCCTGCTGGCCAGGTGCACTCGTGTCTCAAGGCTTGGATGAGCAGGGCTCAGAGGAAACACCTTAAACCCATGTCCCACGATGAGCTTTTGAAGGGTTGGCGCAGGCCAGGCATCTGGGCTTACAGAATCAGGGCTACTACTTTGAATTTGCTTCTGACCCACAGCTCACAAGGGCATTTCGCAAAGCTTGACTGCCGCTTTGGAGTTAGGCTAGGTGCTAGCTGCTCTGGTCCTTCGCTGCACGTGCCATGGCGCGCTCAAGCAGCACCGTCCGGGAGGGAGCGAGGCCCTCCGCCAACACCGTCTTGCGGACCTTTCGGTGCTGCGGCCACGGGCCGTTTTGAATTTCGAGGGCTGCTACGACCTGAAGGTTGAAATGCATGGACATGGAGAGATACAACCAATGCTGAACCCTTAAGCCAGCACCCCACCAACATGCTCATGCACACCATCGCCGCAACGGCACTCGACATCCAACACATCACCCCACGCAAACCCTAGAACCCAAGCATGGATCTCAACAGTACGTGCAAGCCAACGCCCAAGGTCTTCTCCAACAGTCACAAACACACCAAACACCGGATCCACACTAGATGACTCTCCCACAAGACATATACAAAGCGATGCTAAGAACACCAATCTAACCAATAGCCATGCCTAGAACGAAAGCAATAAACTGCAAACTGAGAATAACACCAAGGCCACCAAGAGCAACGGTCCGACACCACGACTGCTAGTTCTGCTGCTGTTACTATTGATCTTATACTACTACGGTTACGATTCAAGTTACGTGTAGCATTGCCACTGCTAATACTATGGCTGGTACGCGCACTGTTACTACTACTACTACTACTACTACTACTACTACTACTACTACTACTACTACTACTACTACTACTCCTACTGCTACTGCTACTGCTACTGCTACTGCTACTGCTACTGCTACTGCTACTGCTACTGCTGCTGCTGCTGCTCCTGCTCCTGCTACTGCTACTGCTACTGCTACTGCTACTGCTAATGCTACTGCTACTGCTACTGCTGCTGCTACTACTACTACTACTACTACTACTACTACTACTACTAGTACTAGTACTAGTACTAGTACTACTACTACTACTACTACTACCACTACTACTCCTACTGCTGCTACTACTACTACTACTACTACTACTACTACTACGACTACGACTACGACTACGACTACGACTACCACTGCTCCTCCTCCTCCTCCTCCTCCTCCTCCTACTACTACTACTACTACTACTACTACAACTGCCGCTGCCGCTACCGCACCGCTACTACCACTGCTACTGCTACCACTAGCGCTGCCCTCACAACTATATGACAATGACAGCTCCAACCGCTGCCCCAACGCCCTCGTCTCGCGCCTCTGCCAGCGTGTCCTCGAGTTCGGTCTGTCGCTCCTCCGCGATTCGTTTTGGGCTTGAAGGCGGGTTTTGGGGTCTGGCTGCTGTTGTACGGTCGAAGGCCTAAGGCTGCAAAGGAGCGGCTTGGGCTCACATTTTAAATAATCTAGGGCCAGGGTTTTAGGCTCGGTTGATGGTGACGGTCAGCATTGCAGCTACTGCTTGATGCGCCTGGGGCAAGGCGCTGTCTTTTCCTGGCAGTTCGTCGAGGCTTGGGTTGAAGATCTTCGGGCAAACCTCTTCGACCCTCAGCCGTACACCATCTTCAATTCTGCGCATCGACCATACCTAACGCCAGAACCATGCTACTGTGGAGACTGCACCGGAAGACTAATCAAGAACGTAGTTATAAGGATTGTATTCATGCAGCATGATCATCGCACTCGCAGGATTCCTGTGTCGATGCCTCGTCCCAAACGGATACAAACTCTACTTCATAGCCGTCGCAACTAGTACTAGCGACAGCCCCAGCCTCAGCAAAAGCAAAGGAGTCATCAAATCAAGCGTCATTGGTGGCTGGACGCCCCAGCCGGGTTGCAAAGCTTGGACGGATAGTTTCAGGAGGTGCTTTCAGTTTCTGAGAGTTTAGGAAGCTTATGGCTCATGGTCAGGGTTCAAGGGTTCAGGGCCCCAGCCGAGGCAGCCCAAGTATCCGTGAAAAGCACCGTAGGATCGTGGTTTTGCATCACGGCACTACTTGACATGCATCAGATTTGCACACTTGCCTCTTCATGTCAGAGAAAGGACTTAAGGCGGTTCTTGAGGCACACTTCACGCGGAAGCCGGCCCCAAGGCCCCAAACTTGGCCCAAACCTGAAGCCCGAAACTTTAGGAAGCCCGAGAAAGTCCTGCTCGCGGTACTCGAAGGGAGCGCTCTGGTAGAGACTGCGGCCGAGCAGCTCCAGACCTTCGAGGGGAGCCAGGTTGTACCTCGGAGCTCTGGGGGACTGATTCCGCCCTTCTCGACTGACACGAACTGCAGAGCCTTCAATGTCTCATATACCACAGACTCACATATCGAGGTTCTTGCACAGTGTAACAAGTGCCCTAAGCAACTGCTCGTGAGAGAAGCTTGCCAGATGATTTTGAGCATCAGCGGCATGTTAGGGTGCAAAGCCATTTGGTTGAGGGTGTACCCTGATCAGTCAACCATGCAAACAATGATCGAACATCCTCCACTACGACGGAGTTTGTGCCGTGAGGGCTTGACAATAGTGTTGGGTTTGCAGAGGTTGTGTGGGACTAGGCAAGAATTCTGACCGAGGGGCTTCAACGACAGCTGCGCCCAAAGATGTGGAACCTCAGCATGGCTTCTCTTCGTCTAGGAAGGAACTGTCCGTAAAAGTCAAGGACATGTCATTGCACTCACTCATCCGGCGATTGCTGCATCCTTGTGGTCTTGATTGCTGGTTGGAGTACTATAAAGTCCCGAGATTGGGCTGCCAGCACGGTTTGCGTGCTGCCCACGACCACAGGACCAAGCTTGAGATCCAAACCCCTGGACTGAGTGTTTGGAGTTAAAAACCCTGAACCCTGACTTTGAACCACCACAAACCTAAAATTATGTAACAAAGGACCACACGTGAACAATCTAGTCGTCGTGTGTCGTAGGATACTCATGCCTTGGGACCATAGCCAGGCTCAACCAAGATACCATGACATAAAGCAACCCCACGCCTTGACGGCGACGAGAAATCCCAACCCTCCTCGCGGCCGGAATGAGGGCCCAGCAGCGATGCAAAAGAACCGTCCCAGGTCTACAACAGACGAAAGGCCTTGAGCCTACGGTGACGATCTTGAAGCATACGATGCAGACTCAAATATCTAAAACAAATTGTCTGCCCCTCCGTGGCCGTCGCCAAGTCTATATACAACGGCTGATCTATGAGTTGTAAACATGCGAAAACTTGCAATCAGAACTGGTATACTACCTCCGTGGCCTTGGCGGTCTGGCTGACCTTCACTCATTTAAAAGCGTCACCATAAGGGTAAGTAGTGCAGCTTGGTGGAGAATCTACGCCGCCCTTTTAATGCACAAAGGGTATCGATTGAAGAGGACCTGTGAATATCCAGCCGGTTGCTCTTCTGCTGTCGGGCAGCCATGTGGCCGCGATACTTGGTCACGATGGCATTGATGTTGCTCATGTTCGTTTGCCTCTGGGTGTACAGGGTTGTTGAGTTTTAGTGGTCGGACAACTACAAGCCAACAATCTTATCCTACCGCATCTAGAAACCAGAAAAGCGCTACTGGCTTTGCTTGTGCAGAGCAACTAGGGGACCTCCGCCCGGATAGCCGGTTCCCCGGACTAGCATCATTGATGCACCCACACAACCCACTGATTCATCTCAAAGAAGACTTCATGGGTTGGGGTATCTGGAGTGTTAAGTTCTGGTGGATCCTGGAGTTCAGTTCAGGGTTTACCACGGGTTCTGAAAATGGCGGCGCAGACGCAACTCCGGCATGGAGAAACCCTGGCTGGCCTGTGCTGGGTGTAGAAATCTTCGAGAGTTTCATGGAGCACAATATCCTGCGGTCGCACGGTACGCGGAGAGCACCATGAATCACCATGATGCGGCAGCATGCAGCTACACACGGACCATACGAGAGCCTCCGTGCTGAAGTCTGCAGGGGGCGGTGGTGCGGTGAGGTGATGCACCTCCACATAGCTTCCATGCGGAAGGGAATGATGCTTGACATCGCTTTCCTGACGACCGCTGCTTAGAATAATTCGACCCGCTGTTGTTGCAATGACAGGCAGGGCCCTTGCAGTCCCAAGCCGAACTCTAAACGCCTGGTGGGGGGATCCTCTTATACATGGAGCCGGGGTGCTGCCTTTTGAGGGATTTGGGCAACGAATCCGAAAATGACGGTGACCCTACGCCGGGACACGCCCTAATGCAGGTGCCTGAAACGCATAACTTGGGTTTCAGGGGTCTTTGGTTTATGCCAGAAGCAAGTGTATTCAGGAACCCTCAGGAATACTGATTGCTGACTTTGATAAACATTCAGGCTCATAGAGCTTTACAGTTGAAAGGACTTCGACAGAAGCCACTGCTAGTCCGCATATGTCCTCATAAGCTTGTCAGAAGCACCGCAGCATCAAGAAGGACACCAATTATGTTAGTCATGAGCAGCGTGTCATTAGAGGCCGGAACCACTCAGTGTAATCAACGCACTCAGTACGTATTCTCGGCACTCGCGAAGCCGTAAGTGCTCAACATGGCCCATCCTGTCCGGTCCTGTCCCATGCGTGCTTCGATATACGTGTGATTGTCTTCTTATCGCCAGCCGAACCCAGTGCTTTTTGCTGTGACTTTCAACTTCGATGACTGGAAACCCTGGCCTCACTATGCTCGTAGTCCGGCTGAGCAACCTCCGCCTCCTCCGACCCACTGCTGTCCATGCGGAACATTGCCTCTGCTTGTTGGGCTCTAACGCCCTTGAAGTTGAAAGCCTAGGGCTTGTGGATTCGAATGTAAAGTTGCGGACTTAGGGTTTCGCCCCGGCCAAAAAACCCTAAAGCCCTGAGTGCCCAACACATTCCAGGCCTGAGGCCCTATGACGCCCAGAACCTTCGGAACACCTTGGACACCTGTGCAGCCACCCTACAAGCCCAAAGCCCTAAAACCCAAACCCGAATACGGTGTTGGGCCCCCTGAACGAGACCTTCGACCTAAAGCACCGGTCTACTGTTTGGGGGTTGAAACCGAAATCTTAACCCCAAGTCCAACCCTAATTCAAAACCCTACACATCCATCCCTAGACTCTAAAGTCCCTAGAGCCATAAGAGAGCTTCCACTGAGCCGCCGCTCGCTCGGACTTCTCCTGGGTGCTCTGCGAGGTGCCTGTGGTGTCGAGCTCCTGGCGGCTTTGGGTTTTGAGGTTCGGTTCAACATGCAGCGAGTGGGCGTGGGATCTAGGCCCTGCAAACAGAAACCCTAAACCCGGAAAGCCGGACTCCTAAGACCTGCAAACCACTTTCGGCCCACAGAAAGAACTCCGCCTCCAGCTTGTCCTCCTGGGGGTATGCCTGGCAGTGGAAACCCGAGTGGAAGAGGGTCTTTGGGAAGTTGAGGGAATGCGATCAAGTAGTCAGGAGTTTTGGCTGCAGGAGTGGAATGAATGTTGGCAATTCGGATCACATAATGTGTTTGTTTCGGGATTGGGGAGTAGTCCTCCAGGTCAGAGTTTTTCTGGTTTCGAGATCGGGACTTTGGAAGGCTCGTGAACTTGTCGTGAACTGATAGGCCCGCACGGCCCTGCAGGCACTTACCTCTACATATATTTTCAGGCACCTGGTTGAGGCGTACTTCGGTCCAAGGAGCGTGCGCCTCCCACCACCGTACGCATTCAGAATCGACCACTGATGATGTTGATCATTACCAAGTTGATAGTACGGCCTAGTACGGGTGCCTCGCAACGGCTGGCAACTCGAAAAAGTGTGATGCATGCATGGGAGTTGGAGCTTCCCCTACCGGAAGGAAGCGGTGAGCGGTGCAAGCGCCCGGCCAAGACAGGCCTCCACTCTGGGCGCGGCTGGCGTGGCTTTTGCTGGCTGCCTCTCGGATGTTGGCACCACTGGAGCCTGACATACGGGCAGCTTATGACGGACCAGGTTCGCACTTTAGAAGCCGATGGACGCTTAAATGCGCATGTTTTGCAGCAGCAATATCACTAGCAACCCCCAGAAAGAAATTGTGGTTGTTTCGGCTGCAGCTCTGGAAGCACCAGCATTTAGAATAGTCGCAGTAGTAGTAAGTAGTAGCAGTAGTAGTAGTAGTAGTAGTAGTAGTAGTAGTAGTAGTAGTAGTAGTAGTAGTAGTAGTAGTAGTAGTAGTAGTAAGTCAGTAGTAGTAGTAGTAGTAGTAGTAGTAGTAGTAGTAGTAGTAGTAGTAGTAGTAGTAGTAGTAGTAGTAGTAGTAGTAGTAGTAGTAGTAGTAGTAGTAGTAGTAGTAGTAGTAGTAGTAGTAGTAGTAGTAGTAGTAGTAGTAGTAGTAGTAGTAGTAGTAGTAGTAGTAGTAGTAGTAGTAGTAGTAGTAGTAGTAGTAGTAGTAGTAGTAGTAGTAGTAGTAGTAGTAGTAGTAGTAGTAGTAGTAGTAGTAGTAGTAGTAGTAGTACTAGTAGTAGTAGTAGTAGTAGTAGTAGTAGTAGTAGTAGTAGTAGTAGTAGTGTTAGTACTAGTAGTAGTAGTGGTAGTGGTAGTAGTGGTAGTAGTAGTACTAGTAGTAGTAGTAGTAGTAGTAGTAGTAGTAGTAGTAGTAGTAGTAGTAGTAGTAGTAGTAGTAGTAGTAGTAGTAGTAGTAGTAGTAGTAGTAGTAGTAGTAGTAGTAGTAGTACGTAGTAGTAGCAGTAGCAGTAGTAGCAGTAGTAGTAGTCGTAGTAGTAGCAGCAGCAGCAGTAGTAGTAGTAGTAGTAGTAGTAGTAGCAGTGGCAGTAGAAGTAGTCGTGGTAGTAGTAGTGGTAGTAGTAGTAGTAGTAGTAGTAGTAGTAGTCGTAATAGTAGTAGTAGTCGTCGTAGTAGTAGTAGTCGTAGTCGTAGTCGTAGTCGTAGTCGTAGTAGTAGTAGTAGTAGTAGTAGTAGTAGTAGTAGTAGTAGTAGTAGTAGTAGTAGTGCAGTAGTAGTAGTAGTAGTAGTAGTAGTAGTAGTAGTAGTAGTAGTAGTAGTAGTAGTAGTAGTAGTAGTAGCAGGACTAGTAGCAGCAGCAGTGGTATTAGTAGTAGTCGTAGTAGTAGTAGTAGTAGTTGCAGTAGTAGCAGTGGCAGTAGTAGTGGTAGTAGTCGTAGGAGGAGGAGGAGGAGGAGTAGTTGTTGTGAATAGTGGTAGTAATAGTTGTTGTTGTTGTTGTTGTTGTTGCTGTTACCGCTGTTGCTGTTGTTGTAGTGCCATATCAGCGTCACAGTAGCAGTACTATTAGGTTCGCTTCAGTACGTGCTTCCGATTGTGGCTTGCGCATGTCTGGAAATCCCTCATCCGTTGCATGGATCCCCAATGTCCTTCAAATCTTCGCTCAGCATCCCAGGCCGAGAGCCTAACGTCTGTAAGATTTGCATCTCCGGTAAGAAATGGAATACCACAATCTTAAGCATCAAGCAGCATGCCCATAATCTAGAAAGGGGAAAGGTAACTCAACTCTTCAAACCGCACAGCCAATTTCTGTGAGAGGGGCAGCAACTATCCAACCGAAATCCGGGTCGCATTGTGCCTGGCTTTGTTTCCGATTACTGAGTCAAATGAAGCAGTAAGCAGTTTATTTAGATTCATGTGCACACAAGTCTTGAGACTGCCAGCTGCACCTAATCATTTTGGAGGCAGCCTGCAAACATTTTGAACCCGCCTGCACCTTTTCAGCCGCTGTCGCCTGAGGCAACGCATTTGGCACCTGGGAGCACCAGTTGCGTTTTCAGCTACAGACACTTCGCTAGTATTGCTCTCATTAAGAATATCGTCGATTGTAGAAGACCTATATGTAAGCGGTGAAATATCTGAAAATCGAATCGAAGAGTCAACACAGTCAACAACGTGTCATAGTCCTGCTGTCTTTGCTTGTGCAATTGAAGCTTGCAGCGGTTGACTCCCCCCCGGGCACCCCTCAATTCGTGTGCCGCAGCTCGCGGCAGTGGCAATTCGGTGCAAACCACAATAGCAGGCCTCCGCTCTGGGCGCAGCTGGCGGGGCTTTGGCTGGCTGCTGCTCGGATGTTGGCACCGTTGGCACCTGGCTGTTGTTCAGCTATTGAATATTGCTTTGCAATCTGACCTGACACGAGGACCGCACACAAAGGATTTGCTGCTTAAGCCGAGAGGCGTTGTGTGCATGTTCATGCTGCAAGCAGCAGCAGCAGCAGCAGCAGCAGCAGCAGCAGCAGCGGCATTGGTCGTCGTAGTCGTCACAGCAACAATAACAGCAGTGCAGCAACATTCACGCAATAATGACATAACACATAGCACCTGCCTGTGCTTTGGGCACCGCTGGCGGTGCTTTTGCTGGCTGCTGCTCGGGTGCGGGAGCCTGTCGGTGTGAAAGGCTGGTTGGACATGGTTTCTTGAAGAAACATATCTGCTGTATCGTCATACAGTTCAGGATTACAGCCCATGGTTGTCCCACTGAGCTGTCCGGCATGGTTGTATTCGTGCTTGTGCTGTTGCTAGACGGTGCCGCTGCTGGATTTATGTACCACTACACTCGTTGCTGTTGTGTTTGTTGCCACAACTGGTTAAACTTACTAGTCCCCCCCCCAATTTCAAACGGGTTGGGTCGCTCCCGAAACTGCTCGAAAAGTGCTCTGGTTATTCGGGAGTATCTTTACCTCGAAACTGTCACATTCGGGAAGATCTTGCTCCTGCTTTGGCTCTTGATCCTGCTCCAGCTCCTGCTGCGGCTCTTGCTACTGCTCTTGCTTTGAGGCCCTGCTGCGGCTGCCGCCCCCCCCCCCCCCCCCCCAATCCGAACCCGGCTTTAACGGGTGGTCATGAGTTCAGTGGGGTTTTCCGCGAACACCTTTCAAGATTAGGGCTGTGTTGAATAAATGGGGGAAGCGATTACCATCATCATCGCTTCCATGAGAACGATGCAAATTTCCATCGCCATTTCCGTTCTCGTCATGACTTACGGCGAAGAATGCATACTTTTGACTATGACAACCGTGCTGATGCAGGTGAAACGAATGATTCTGGCAATATTGTTGGTATTCATGTCACTTCGATACTGAGAACAATGCCAGTGAGAATGGCGATAAGGATAACGATGGTAGCAATGCCAAAGTCGTCCACGAGGGCTATAACCGCAATTGCATTGACAGCCATGGTCATAGCAATTGTTTTGCTACACGTAGTGATGATGCTCACAACGATGCGATGCTGATTTTATTATATGCCAATGACGCCACTGACAAACATGACGACAAGCAAATTGACGAGCGATGCCATGACGATGATGAGGAGTCTGTGGCAGAAATTACAGTTGTCGTAACGGTGACGATGATGACATCAACAACCATGACGGTGGAGGCCTATCTATCCAGCCGATCGCTTTCGACTTCGTTACTGCACTCAGTATGGACACCTTTGGCTTCGCGTTAGGATTTGAGCCTGTGCCCACACGACGTGCTACGAGTGTGTCAGTCTTGGAACCTCCGCAATTCATCTGAAAAACGGGCCTTTGCTTTGGGTGCAGCCTTTGGCACCTCCAGCGATGCAACTTGAAGGTTCCCCGGAGGCTGGAAGCAGGGATGAGTGTCTCTACTTCGTTTAGACCAAACCCCTAAAGACACAAAGTCCTCAAGGCTGAAAAGGTTGGAGTCTCTGAACCTTCGTGGAAGCGTCCCAAGACGTTGCTGCAGGTTGCTGAGTCTCAATGGAAGGAGCCCTGAGAAGCAGAGGAGATCGAAAGCCGGCCTCTGTCCTCGCAGGCGGGATGAAACCTCCCTCCGCCGCTTTGGGCGCAGCTTTCGGCTCTGCTTTTGCCGAAGGCGCCGAGCTCTCGCCTCGACGTTTCCAGGTTTGAGCGAAGTTTGGAACTCACGCTTTGGAATTGAGAGACTAGAGTGCCTGGAGAGCGAGCTCATGGAACGGCAGGCCTGACATGCCTAACTCCAGCTCCCCGAGTAAACTGCAGTTAAATGTCGAAGCAGCCTTGAGTCTTAAAGCAACTACAAAAAAACTGTAAACTCTGAGGCCTTCAACACAGCAAACGGAGCTGTTCCCGCGGGGAACCGAAAGATCAAGGAGGCTTCAATCACAGGTTTGTTTTGCGTACTTCGTAAAATGGCTCGACGGAAACCCAGTCTGAATCCAACTTCTAGGGCAGCTGTTGCAAGCGGTTTCGCGGTTGGTTTTAGGATTAGGCCCACTTTTGCTAGCACTTTTGAAAGGACTTGGCTCAACCCACAGGTCGCAAAGTCCAGCCTGCTAGCAAGGAGTCAAAGAAGGCGTCCGTGTCCTCTTCAAAGGCTTTCAAAATGTCCTGCGCTGTCCGCTGTCTGAGAACCCTGCAAGATTCAAACGAAGTAGGGGAAGAGCGCGTGGAAGATGAGTACGGTTGTCGGAGGAGTAGAAGAAGTACTAGTAGTAGTAGTAGTAGTAGTAGTAGTAGTAGTAGTAGTAGTAGTAGTAGTAGTAGTAGTAGTAGTAGTAGTAGTAGTACCAGTAGTACCAGTAGTACCAGTAGTACCAGTAGTACCAGTAGCAGTAGCAGTAGTAGTAGTAGTAGTAGTAGCAGCCGTAGGAGCAGTGGTCGTCGTAGTAGTTGTTGTAGTAGTAGCAGTACTAGTGGCAGTAGTCGTAACTAGTAGCCGTAGTAGCGGTAGTGTTGGTGGTACTGGTACGGGTAGCAGCAGTGGTCCTAGCGGCAGTAGCAGAACTAGCAGAAGTGGTACTAGTCGTCGTCGTAGCAGTGCGAATCTACTACAATGCGGGAAGCTTCAATAGCTTGTGCTTAGGCATAGGTAGCTTCTGGTCCCGACTGTCCTGATCCTTGTCCGTCCGTGCCATGATGCCGAAGCGGCGGGTTGCTCTAACAACTTTGCTATGAAGTATGGACTACTGGCGAAAAAAACCCTAAGCCCCTGCTTCATGCCGTGCTAAACATGTTGAT